TGAGAATACGGCTGACTGAGATTGGGGTGTAGGTGAGTCGCTTGACTGATTCATGCTGTCAGGATTATGTTTCTGTTCAGCGCTTCACATGCAGTTGAGAAGGAAAGTCATTTTCCTCCTCTGCCAGCCAAACGCATGAGGCCCCTTCAGATTCGCTTCCTTTTGAAGCCCAAACTGCCAACCGCTGCCTGAAGGCCTCACAGCCCAACACCGCATGCAAGGGGTCAGGTACTTGATGAAGGGACTGAGGTGGACCAGGAGCTCTGTGCCCGTCTAGAAAGCAGGGGCCAAGCCCACTGCACACGGCTGCTGCTCGGCCCTCGTTGGGTGTTGGCTGAGAGCTCAACTTAAAATTTTCGTCACACAGCCCTTTCAGTGAATGATGTTGGGAGGACTTCTTATCTACCTTCAAAATAATGAAACTGGGTCTTTATCCCACACTGCATATTAAAAATCACCTTAAAAGGGATTAAAGACATATATATTTAAGACTCAAAACTATAAAACTACTGGAAAAAAAGCAATGAAAACGTTCTGTTCCATTGTTCTGAGCCATGATTTTTGGGAAATGGCCCTGGAAGTATTAGCACCAAAAACAGGAATAGAGAAATAAGATGACCTCAAACTAAAAAGCTTCTTACAGCAAGGGAGGAGATAGCCTAGAGAATGGAAACCATACATTGAATAAGAGGTTAATATCTAAAATGCATAAGGAATTCAGGGGAAGGGGGAAAAGAGATGTGTTATATATATAACAAAGTTGTGTTATGTACATGTACCAGCTCTCTGCAATGAATCCAATTGAATAAAAATCTAAGAGGGGAAAAAAAGGAATTTAAACAACTCAGTAACAATGAAAAAAAGATTAAAAATGGCCAAAGGACTTGAGCAGACATTTTCAAAAGAGCATATACAAATGAGTAACAGGTAAGTGAAAAACCTGTCAGCATCACTAATCACTAGGGCAATGCAAATTTAGATCACAGTGAGACACTGTGGAAGGTTTCTAGTGAAAAAGAAAGAAGAAAGATAACAAGTGATGGTAAGGATATCGGGAAAAGGGAAATCTTGGACACTATTGATAGTAATGTAAATTACTGCAGGCATTAAGGAAAAACAGTATAGAGGTTTCTCAAGATATTATAACTACATGATCTGGTATTCCCACTTCTGAAAATTATCCAAAGGAAATGAAATTAATATGTCAATATTAATCAATATCCTGTGTTTACTGCAAAGCTTTTTCACAATAGCCAAGAAATGGAAATAACCTAATGTCCATAAACTGATGAATGCATTAAGAAAATGTGGTAGCTATATACAACATTATGCTATGTGAAATAACTCAGGCACAGCAAGATAAATACCCCATGCTTTCACTTTTATACCGAATTTTTATAAAGCTGAACTCATAGAAGTTGAAGGGCAGTTCCCAGAGGCTGCAGGGCTGGGGCGGGGTGGGGTGCATTGAGCAAGGGGATACAAAGTTTCAATTAGCAAGAAGGAGTAAGATTCGAGATTTTTTTACAGCAGGGTGACTACAGCCAATTATAACGTACTCCACATTTCAAGTTAAGACAATAAATTTCAAATGTCTCACCATAAAAAGGTTGGATAAGGGAGGTGATGGTTATGTTCATTAGCTTGATTAAATCATTCCTCAGTGTGTCCATGATCAAAAAACATCACATTGTACCCCCTTCATGTATGTAATCATGATTTGTAAATTAAAAAATACTATTACTATAAAAATCAAAACATTCTTTACATTGAGGTTTAATTTGCATGTAGATTGGCACACACATATGATTTGATGAGTATTTTTGTGCATTTCAAGCTATTATATGTAGAATTTCTCATTACCCAGAAATATCGCTGAAAATCTCCATCCAATCTCTGCCATGTCACACAACCATGGTTCTGATTTCTATCACCACAGACTAGTTTTGCCTATTCTTAAACTTCATATAGAACCTATGATTTTTAAAAAGAGCTGAAAACTACATTTTCACAAAACTTCCTCAGCTTTACATGCTGGAAGCCTATACTGATTGCCTTATACATGTTGGGCAAGTGCTCTACCACTGAGCTCCCTCCCCAGCCAAAACACTGTTTGTCATTAAACAGTGGGTAGCAGGACCAATACAACATTAAGGCCACACTCAGCCCAACAGCCTCACTCTGTGTCTGGTCTACAGTGTCAACTAGGAAGATGTTCTGTACACATTTATTAAGCTTCCTCTCATGATGGCTGGTTTGGTACCACATGGCAGCTTTCATTCCCAGACCTGGGGGAGAAGCAGAGTGGAGCACATATCAAAGGGTACAAGGAGAAAACGGAGAACTCAGCTGCTGTTCTTCTCAGCAGACAGCAAGAAGCCCACCTTCGCATCACCTTACAAGGCTGGCCTGCAGGGCCCCAGATCTGCTCCCACTCTTGCCTCCTGTCCCTGCTTCCCACCTGTCATTCTGCACCATCCCTGGGGTCCTCTGCTGTTTGGTGAGCTGAAGGTGCAGAGCTCGCTCCTTCACCACCTTCTGTTCCAGGCTCAGGGTCACTCTCTCATGTGAACACCTTAGTCTAAAAATTGTACCACTCCACCTCTTTCTTTTTCTCCACAGCGTGGATCACCATCCCACCGTAGCACTGCTCGAGTCTAAAATAGAACACGACATCTACAAGGCATTTGGCTTCTGTATTTCTGCCTTGCCTCCTCCTCCACAAGAACAGAAGCTATACGAGGACGGGCACAGAGTCGGAATCCGTTCCACAGCTGGCGAAGGGGTGAGTGAATCAAGGAAGGAAAAAACAGAGAAAGGAAGAAAAGAAAAAAACACTCCTGCTCCCTCTGGAGAGAAAAATGTTCAGTAAAACAGTGACGAGTTAAAATATTTTATCACTTCTAATTATTTTGCAACCATTTCACTATTTTGCAGAAGTAAAGATTTAAAAAGCAAACTAATGTTAATCCTAAGGCTCATCATGACTCTGACCACCGCTTCCATCTTAACAGGTGAGTGTGTGGGAGGAGAAATGTTTATGGAAACACACAGCCTTTGCGTTCAGTTTAGTAATAATTAGGCTTTTCATTAAGTTTCATTGTTTCATTAAGTTTCATTGTTTAGGATGACAAAGCCATCTTTCCTGAGTAACTTTTGTACCTTAATTCATTGTAACAAGTAGCCGAAGAAGGAATTATGAAGTAATAAAATAGCATATGTCTTATTCCCTGGCCTCTTTGAAAATAATGATTAGCAGTAAACGTAAAAAATGAATCTAATCCTATAATTTTTTTTTTTTTTTAAAGTGACAGTGAATACAACCAGCGCTGGGGGGTTAGCTGGTTCTGCAGGTCAGCACTGGAGTTTTGACATCAGGTAAGGGTAGCAACTCTGAGACACGAACTCCAACAGGGCGGGGTTCACCAGTCAAAGATACTATTTGGGATGAAGTCTGGCCCTGGGATTGGTCAGCACTGGGTTAGATCAGGAGTTAGAACTGGGTTGGAACTAGACCGCCTGCTAGTTCACTGTGCGTCCTGCTGAGAACAGACAGAAAGCTGGGGTCACAAGCTCACAGAAAGCCACACAGAGCGGGAGGGGACACACACACACACACACACACACACATGCACACACACACACGCACACACAGACACACACACACATGCACACACACACACACAGACACACACACACACACACACAGACACACACACACGCTTTTTGTCTTTTAGGATGGGAGAAACAAACACTTTGATAAATAAAGATTGTGAGTTACACTTTTGGATAAGTTTAAACCTACGAACAATTTTTCAACTGTCAACAGCTACAGAATTCACGACACAAAGGCAGCAAGATTAGGCCCCGAGAAATGCGTGAGGTAAACAAAGTCCTTCTCCCCCCCCACCCCCCGCCCCGCTCTCCCAGGTCGGGTAACTCAATCGTCTTTGACTACTTGAGAAGACGCATGGATCATTTTTTCTCTCGGCGTGGACAGAGCAGCTCACATTTCCACTACCATCAAGGTGATCGTCCCTATCCCTTGTTGACACCTTTCTTCCGCACCTCGACAAGTCACAGAGCACGGGAGACAGTTTCAGAGGCGATTAAATACTGGCACGGATACCCAAGAGATGCAATCATCCCCGGGACCTTTCGGTGCAGCGGCCACGTGGGCGGGCAGAGTTACACCTCCAACACCATCGGGATGTGTGGGGCCTGGAAACTCAGAAGACCTTGGTGGGGAACAGAGGAAGGAGAGGTGCAGCCCATGCCTGAATGCCCAAGCAATCTAGGCCCCTTCTTAGATGCGCACCTTTGGACACGGTGACCGCACGGCACACATGGCGTTTAGCCAGGCACGTGCAACCGATTTTGCCAGCCTGCATTCTGTCCTATGATGATACAATCGCCGAATCAGTTGTCAGTGCAGACTGAAGCCAGGGATTTTCTATCTGGCTGGACATTAGCATTTTCTAGGGGGCCTGGGCCTACCTCAGTCCAATTAAATTGGAAGTTTTGCTTGGTATTTTTTTTGAAAGTGAACTCCCAGGCGGTGCGAGTACACATCAGTATGTGAAAGCCGCAGCCCCACACACCACACCACTTTCATCCATAGAAAAACTGAAGCCCAAAGAATTTAATTGGCTTGTGACTTTCCCACAATCACTTGCCTAGTTAGTAGCAGAGCTCCCATTAAAACCACGAGCTCCATGAATTTACTCCTCCAGCGAACACCTATCGGTGATGCTCTAGATCTGATGAGCAAACATGCACCCAGGTGCCATCCAGAAGTAAGGCCAGTCCCCGCTGGCGGGTACCTAAGAGTCAGGATGATCCTGATCCGAGTGAAAAGGTGAGAAGCAGTGTAACTGCTCTGCCTTCTCTCTTCGACTTTTCATCCAAATAGATTCTGCCTCTGCATCGCGGACATCCATGCCTACGTTGGCGCTTAGGCCCTGCTCTCCAGTGTCACCAGTTCCAGGAGGTCCACTTACCCAGATCCAGCGTGTGGCGTGAAGGCAGGGGACAGGAAGGACCCCAGCTGGGACTCCAGCTCTGCTCCCTGCGTCCTGGACCAGAGGCGAGAGCTGCGGAGGGAGAGAGCACCCGCCCCTGCAGAAAGAAGAAGAAAGCACAGTTAACCCAGCAGGTGCCGGTCTGGGCTTTGGAGGAAGGTCTGCCCCAAATGCTCATCAGTGCCCTCGCTGACTCCTGATACCAAGCCTCCCTTGAAGACATAGCTGTGCTACCCCAGGGGCTTACATGCAGCATGGTTCTTATGTCAGAAAACACAAATACAGGGGACAGTGAAAAGCAAAGGCCAGTGTTTGAACTCAGCCATGCACATACCGAGCAAAACACTGGTGCCAAAACCGTGTGAGAAACTGTTCCCCCAAAGGGGCATCAGCCCTGGGAGTGCAGCATCGCAGAAGTACTTTTCTTGAGGAGGGCACGGAAAATAGAAAAATGAGAGAGATTTACAGTGTTCGAGATCAAACTTGCTCTTGTTCAATTAAAAAAGTCAGAGGACTAATCTGTCTTTAGTCTTTCACAAATAATGCAGTGATTACTTCCACTGACAAAGACCTTACTCAGGCGGCGGGTGTTTATTCCACTTGGAAGTAAATTAAACCGTATCCACCCAGTTTGTGGATCTGCACACATGCTGTTTCGTTTCTGTTGTCCACATATGTGCCCTCCATTGTGCTACCTCATTGGAAAGCAAGGTTTTTTTTTTTTTTTAATTGAAAGGAACATTTTTTATTTTAAAAATAAAAGAAAGAAAACATATTAACAAACAGACATCCATTTACAAAATAGCATAAGAATGATACAAACAATACAGAGTTACAGACAAAGTTGTAGGAAATTAACAATTGTTGTATTACTTATTGATATCTTCAAAGTGGTTTCTCAGGAAAACAAATAGAGACATGCAAGACTGATCAAACAGGTAATCATTAACTGTTCTTTGAAAGGAACTTTTTTTTTTTATTTTAAAGAGAGTAGTACATGAGAAATGAACAAATAAAAAAAATAGAACAGTAGCAGCATACCAGTATCATGAACATAAACAAATCAAAGCAAAAACATTCAAAGTGATACAGGGTCTCAAGACACATTAATACGGATCAACAGTGGTTGTTACGTTGCATACCGGTCCTCAACTACATTGCTCAGATTATCAGATGTAAGAATGAAAGATTGCTCAAACCATTGAAGATATTAAGAAAATAATTCTTCAATAAAACATTAGGGATAATACAGAGT